AATTGAAGGCACTGCGGACGGTTTCAGCCCAAAAAGTTGTAAGGTATCCTCTTCGCGACGCATCATGACCATTGTTCTGAAGTTACCCGCAGGTGATTGTAGGTGCCACTCCGTAGATCCACACTGCTCGCAGGAAAGAATGGAGGTATTTCGAGCAGGTTGACTTGACACATTGTGACACTTTCGCGCACACTCAGTTTGGTCCTCGAACGAATGGCGCGCACGCGGCACTGCTTACATCGCCGCTTTTACTGCATTATCGCAAAGTAGAACTCCTGACCCATTCGTGTTGCTTGTGGTTATACTAATCGTCGAGCGTCGATGTTGTCGATGTTTTTAAAGAGAAAAATCTGCCACGGAAACAAATCTTACATTTCAGGTATTGGAGCCGTGCCAGACGCTGCATTAGCTGCATTGAAAAATCACAAAGATCTTGGCATCCACACGGAGATGTTCTCAGATGGTGTGCTGGATCTGCTGGCGTGTAATGCCATTACCAACAAAAGAAAGGTGCTCAATTTTCTCAACTTTCAATGCTTTCATGAAGTTAAACTCAAGCACGGCATCGAAGAAAATTGGCCCCTTGTCCCCAGGCAGCACCACTGGTCTCTGTAGGACCACTTCGGTCTGAAAGAAAAGGAGATCACTTCCTGAAAGAAAATGGTGTGATTTTACTTGCAGCAGCTGCGAGCCCTCAACCTGCAACCTCCATCCCAATCAGCTCCGTCCAGTCATACCACGAATTTCTAAAAGGTAGCATTAGTGAAACTGCTCGCTTAGAACGACTGGAGCACTGATCTGTACATGAGCTTATTCCCTAAAAGCACTTCATGGGCCAAATCGTCTTCTAAAGGGACTTCCACTTTGAATTGACTGTATAGCATAAAAAGGGATTAGCGAGCGCCGAGTGCTTCAGTTTTTGCCTTCCTCAACAAATTTGGAGAGATATCAAACCAAAAATTAGAGGAGTTTCAGCATATACGTCCTGGCAAGCTGGTGGTCTCCTTCGTCTACGGTACTAAGCGGTTGTACAACTTCTTGAACAACAACCCGCTAGTCGAATTCGGAGATGTCCAATGGGTCAACGATCCTGCTAAGCTAGTCGAATTCGGAGATGTCCAATGGGTCAACGATCCTGCTATTATCCGACAGAATCCCAAAGTCGTTGCGATCAATTCAGCTGTTGAGGTTGATCTCACTGGTCAAGGTGAGCTCTACAAGGGGTTGATAGCTCTAGCAGTGGTACATGGTTCAGAACGTTGCCTGTTAAGAAGTAGATGACGTATCATGGACATGTCGTCACATAACACGCTAGCAACCTGTCTTGTGACGCCACAGACATGATACAGTACAGGTTTGCTCAAGATGAATGCTTTACCTGTCGGTCGTCATCCAACTCTTAGCAAGTAACAGGCTTCTGCTACACCTACGTTCTCCACTAAGCCACTAGGCCTAGTAGGTGATTAGAACGCGTACATTCTAGCAGTATTCTCAAAAGAGATGATTTCAGTGGTCTCCGATTCAGTTGGCAAACGGTTTTTGTCCGGTTTCGGCGGGCAAGTAGATTTCATCCGTGGAGCAGCCGTCTGTAATGATGGCCTTGGCAAACCAATCATTGCTCTTCCATCGGTTTCGAAGAAAGGCCAAAGCAAGATTGTACCCTACATACAGCAGGTTTGTTGAACCCAGCGATTGCAATGGTGCCTGCTTCAGTCTTTTTCAATAGCTTTGAGTGTTTAGGGAGCTGGTGTTGTCACATCTCGATCTCATGTACACTACATTGTCACGGAATACGGTATTGCTCAACTATGGGGTAAGAATATGCGGCAAAGAGCGTACGAACTCATCAAGATCGCTCATCCATCTCACCGTGCAGCATTGGAAAAGGCAGCCTTTGAAAGATTGAAGGTACGGACAAGTACGAGCTTGTCACAGCTTCGTTCCAGAGTGTCTTGTTGGACCCAACCTCTAGATATTGCTGGTTTTGCGCAGTGCACAAAGCGCGCCGAAGGGTCACGCCTCACTTCATAGGATTCCTTGCGCAGCTATCTCCCGGGGCAGTCGTTATCCCTGCGAATGAGAGGGCGTTTTAGGAGCGTGGATTGGAACGCAGGGAGCACGGCTTTTCTCACCAGTTGATGCCATTGGCCCACCTTTGCTGCAAAATTCTGCCCCGGCACCGCTCCTGTCCTGCTCCTTCACGCTCCCCTCTCTTCTGTAGGTATAATGACTGGGGTGCACTTCGCACAACGCAGTATGGCCACGCTGAAATGGGTGGTCTGTGGTGCCAATGACCACGCTCAGCGCCTGCGAGGACCGAACCTGTACATAAGATGGTTAGTATTTCTGACATGAATCTTAAGCGTGACTTCATCCATGTTTGGAGTTGTCAAAGTAGACAGTAGGTTAATTACAGCAACGATGCTGTAGTCCAGCGATAACTTCGAAGGCCCACTAATACACAGCTGTAACTTTTATTCCCACATGCAATCAGCTTTTGGCTAAGCAATCTACTTTTCTGTTTGAGAGATCCTGCGAGGGACATGTGCATGATGTACGCAAGGACTCCAACACTCGCTACCAACCACAAGATCTCACAAAAGTTCTTTCGCTGTGTACAAGGAAAAGAAAATTGAGTCACGTTAGTTCGGTATGACTTGTCAGACGGGTCAAACTCATGAGGCA